ACCTCTACGCCTTACGGCGGAGCAGTGTGTCGTAACTCCCAGAGCTGGCACACTGTTGTCACCTCGACACCTCACGGCGGAGAACTTTCTCGTTTCTGATATCGAGCGCGTGCCAACGCCCGAAGTCGACACGCTGTTGGCACCTCGACGCCTTACGGCGGAGACCTTTCTGGAAGTGTCTGGTCCCTGACCAGACACTCTTTTACTGTCAACGACTCCCGGAGTCGTTACAGCTCGCGCGCTCCTCGCGCTGCGACTGGAGACAGCGGAACGAGCCACTGTCTCTGAAGGAGGTTCAGATGCACCGTTCGGTGTATCCACTGCACTAACAGGGCCATCGCTCTCTGTTGCGCCCCGGCGTCCGAAGCGTCCGACCGTACGCTTCTCTTAGTCGATAATAGGATCATGTCGTGTAAGCCACGGCATGACCAACACCATATCGAACTTGTCGTCCAAGTCCAGGACGAGAAGTTCTTCCACAAGCGCCCGGTGTTTGTACGAGAAGCGTGCGCGAATAACGCGCTTCTCGGTCTTTACGATGGCACCCGTTGCCAATCGCTGTCGAACAAAGTTGTTCGACGCGCCCGAGTCTACCAACCCCCGAAGAGAGTCCGCTCTCTTCGTCATCGACTTCACCTTCAAGATGACAAGGTTTGACATGTCATCTTGTACTTCGCAGTGAGATTCCCTCTCACTGGGGGTTGCAGTCCTCAATACCGCGTGTCCGTTGTAGACATGCGTGACTGCATTACCAGTAGGGTGCCCCGCGCCTACTGGTCCCTTGCGTTTTTTGTTCGACCGTGACGATACCCAGTATCACCACGTCGACCTTGGCTTGCGTGTACTGGTGCCGTACACTCACGTGCGTAGTGACCCATGTTTCCGCACCAGAAGCATCGCACGTTGCTTCCCTTGTTCTTCTGCTGACCAACAGCAGATGCATACGAAAGATCCATTGGTTCAGGACCTTCCGTTTTAGCAGCCGGCCGAGGCGGGCGTGGCACGTTCGTGTGCAGTTTAGCCTGTCTCAGGCTTAACTCCTCTTGTATTGCGAGGGTTATCGCAGCTTCGAGAGTACTCGGGTACTCTCGGAAGAGATAGGTCTTCACAGGCCCATCTCTCAACCC